AATAAATAAAATAAATAAAATAAATAAAATAAATAAAATAAATAAAATAAATAAAATAAATAAAATAAATAAAATAAATAAAATAAATAAAATAAATAAAATAAATAAAATAAATAAAATAAATAAAATAAAACTTTTGAACCTAACTAACCTACTTACCTATCGAAACTGCCCTTTCTTAAACTAAACTCATATACGTAGAGTTACTTAAAAATATAATTATCTAGGATTACCTACTTAAACTATACTGAAGCTTTGATTACTTAGACCTTTACTAATCCCCAACCTTCTTTACTAACACGAGAGGCAACTAAGAATAATGTACCTAAGGCAAGACACAGCCCTCCAAATGTAAATGCATATTTATAATGACCCCCACCAGCCTTAATTAGAAGTCCGGCTAGCGGAGGGCCGGTTAGATTTGCGAAACTGACAATTGAGTAAACCATTCCCATCCTTGTGCCTGCCTTTTGAAGATCAGTTGTCAATGACGACAAAGCTGCTGGGAAGAGGCCCTGAACTGTAGCCCCAAAGATACCTGGGTGTGTAAAATAAATGGGTAAGTAAACGCTACTTTGTGAAAGCGAGATTTGGTTGTCTGGAATGCTAAAAGTGTGACCTTTGAGTAGCATTGGGTGGCTTACCATAAAACACAGCCCAAACGTACAGAGCAGTGGAACTCTGGATTGCCATCCAGCAGAATAAGAGAATTGTACAAATAGCTGCGGCCGGAGTCACAACATTCAATGGCCCCAAATATAGGTCTGCGAGAAAGCCAGGAATCACACGACCAATCGCGCCAACCCCGTTCATAATCATGAGAACATTGATCGAATTCTCGTATGAAAATGAAAGCCTGTCGCGACTGAATGGACCAATGCTACATAGTTCGTTAGCTTCAGTTGGGTGCAGGAGACGAAGCAGCTTCATCTGTCGAACATACTAATAAAATGCAAAATAGACGCCCCAGAAGTTCTGCAGATGTTAATAATGAACAAAGACCAAGTTAAGGTCAACTTACGAAAAACATGCCAATAGTAAAGAGAAGATAGGGCTTCTCCATAAAAGCGGAGAACTCAATCACTGAGCCAGAACGCCTCGGTCGTATTCTAGATTGCATCGAGAAGTTGGCAATCAAGAGAGTGATGAGTTGGATCAAGGCCATGACACGCATTGTCCAGCTGAATCCAATCTTGGGCAAAAGCTGACGTGCAATAACAGGATAGATCATCCCTCCAGTAGCTGAGCCACTGATGGCAATTCCGATAGCGAGGTTTCTGCGCCTGCTGAAGTAGGTCGACAACACAGCCATAACAGGACAGAAGAGACCTCCCATGCCGAGTCCCATGCAAAGCCCTTGGGATAAGAATAGTTGCCAGTATTGAGTCGAGAACGATGCTGTCAGGCTTCCCAGTACTACAAGGGTAGATCCCGAGGCAAAGACTGCTCGAAAATACCCAGCATCGGTGAGACGCCCGGTAAACACACCAACGACGAAAAGAAAGAAGACTTGCATAGAACCAATCCAACTGATTTCAGAAGCCGACCGAGAAAGATGATCTCGATAGAATATTTGGAAAATGCCGAAAGAGTTGATTGTCCCCCAAGTATTGATAACAACAAGATGGGCCATGAGAGCCTGCGTCCAGGCCTTGACACCGCCGTCTGGGGGCGGTCCATCAAAGTTGTTCTCATATCCAGCGCTGAGATGATCTTTTGCCAGTTTCTTGATTTCGGTTTCGCCGTCGGATGAATCAAATATTATGGATTGAGAAGGTCTAGGGCTTTGGCTGGTTGACATGTCTTTCGGCTCGTTTTTTCTCGAGTCAATCATGACAAATACAGGCCTGGTTTCAGCCATAATGAGATAGAACAGGATGAGCAACGAAATGAGATAGGAAACTTTGGGGCCACTCGAGGAAAGCACAATAAGATTGAAATACTGAAAAGTTGAATATTATAGTTCTATGACCAATATATAACGTCTTTCGAAGCATTCGCCGGACAGAATGCTCTGACACGTAAGGTTACCAATATAAGTTCGTATCCATCACCCTTACTCTTGCCGTAACAAACCGAGATCATTGCCCCCTTGTCCTGGCAAGTTTTTCACCACCTTGTAATATAACACTTCAAATGCCTACAGTTTGACTCGTGAGGCGTGCAAGTTTTCCGGATGAAGCCACTAGGTGTTGTGTTGGTCAAGGTTTACCGCTCAACTTACCCGGCATTCGGCGAACTTTCCCGCGGAAAAGATAGTTCTCCATCCATATACTGTATCCAGCGTCCTATGGCGATTCTATTGGTACGTGACCTCAGAATGAAATGGGATCTACGCTAGCCTGCTTGCTGATTATGATCCTACGATAAGCTTTAGGCGGTTGACATCGGCATAAGGGATTGTTGGTGTAGTGCTAGTTCGATTTCAGCATAGGTCTAGTGGCATTCACAAGAGTGCAGCGGGAAGTACTAAGGACTGAAAACTACTCAATCTTCCCCCACCCGCAGCCGAGAATGTCGCGATGCCGCGATCATTCATATGAGACTTGCTTTTTGCTGGAACGGAAGACTTCAGACAAGACCGGGGCGAGGTAAACTGTCTGCGTCTTCAGGAGGCCAGTATAATGAACGCATTCAGAGTGTCTGAATACTAGACGTCTGATAGTTTGTCTACGTTGGTTTGCGAGAGTACCTAGAGAAACTTATTATCACAGATGAACGTATCCCAGGCTTAGTTACGCAGGTTGGTCAAGGCACTTGCGAGCAAGCACTTCTTGCGATTGCCTTAGCTGTACAGAAGTCCCCTGCAAAAGTCAATGCTGCTTACGCCATGTTGACTCCGGCGACGGGCCCCAATCATAAGTAGGTAATTCAGTCAAAGGATGTGTTCAGAAGCACTCCAGCTAAACAAAGTTGACAATAGTCATAGCAGGGTATTTATTCACTAACAACCGACGCGATTCAGTGTTTGTTGCATTCAACCAAAAGCCGAAAGGCCCAGCCCGCAGCCTTCGTACACGTACTTTGGACACGATCGATCAATCCCTCCCAGTATGTGTCCAATCCCAAGGAGCCATGATGCTGGCCACAGTGGAGGATGTCGCTCCAGTTTAGCCTGAGTGACTGAGACTCAGACCAACTCAGTAAACGTGACTCTTCTGGAAGACAGCCCCAAACTGATTATCGGAAGTTGCCGCTACCATTACACCGAGACAATGGGATGGAGTTTTGTCTCTTGATGCAGGCAGTAATGGCACCACCGACCCAAGTAACGCCCTCGTAGGAGCCGTCCTGCGATAGAGTAATTAGCCTCAGTCGGTACGACTACAGCGCAAGAATTCGCATACCTCGTGGCTGTCAGCCATGAAAGTTCCAGTCTGTCGGAGGCTTCCAACGCAACCCTGGAAGGTGCGACCGTATTTACGGTTGGTCCAGGGGCGAGTAATAACGACACCAGTGTAGCCATTATCGACGGTGCCGCGAATGAGGTAGCCCTGGGTCGTCGTCCAAGTACGCGAGTAATTGATCCCAAAGCTAGTTTTGAGTCGGTCCTTGATGAGACCAAGATCAATACCAGCAGAAACCTGGACGCTGTTCGCAATCGAGTATGACTTGGAAATGGTAATGTCAATACCCTTACTGCCAGCGCCGATTACAACAGGAGACATTTGGACATCCCAGTCAACAAAGCGCTGAGTGCGATCAACAACGGTCTGATAGTTGCTGTTGCAGTCACGTTTTCCAAGCGCGAGATCAGTGTGATTCACGGATATCTCCGAGAACTCATCACCAGATCTAAGGAAATCATGGTCAATCTCTGGAGTCTCAGCCTCAATGCCCTCAACCTTTAATAAAAGTTTCCAGGTGTCCTGGGTGATGATGGCAGCTTCAGAACAAATTGAGAAGTCAGCATGATAAACCAGAAATGCAGATTGAGACTCGCGTACTTCGACCACCCGTTCCGAAAACGATAATTTCGCCGTTGCGGAGGTTGCGATCCAAGGTGTCGGTGATGTTGAGGGTAGCATCATTGTTGTCGGCAATGGCGGTTGGCGCAGCGCTGACTGCAGCAGCAAACGCAGAGAGGAAGGCAATCCAGATAGAAACCATCTTGAGGGAAACGACAGAGAAGTATTACACACGAGTGAGGGTCTGATAGATGAGGATACGAGAGTTGAGATAGCAAATGACCTTTGTGGGATTATTCTGAGGCTTTATAAATATTCTTGGAGTGGTATGTATTCTCCTTACCGACTCATGCAATACTTTCTGATCGGCTGATGAACTGTTGGTAGCATTCTCGTGGTCGTTGAATCCACGTGGGCTCGCGGTTGTGCTCGTCCGAATGTCTGTCACTAGTCAGGCATGGTCCCTGTAGGCATGGGCCAACAGATGGTTGCTGAATGCCCTGACGGCCAGGTGGAGTTTTACCTGCCCACGTGAAGTCAATACGTGATGTCTCTTGTAATTGCCGCTTGAGTGCTGTTCTCATACACAGGCGAACTACCTGCTTAATCGAGTTTAGCAAGATCCAATACAACACGACTCAGCAGCCGTCACGAGAAGGAATACGCGACCAGTCAGCTTCTTTCCGATAAAACAAGCAATCATCTACACATCGATTTGTCTTGAGGAACAAAAATGTGGGATCAACGGTGCAACGAGCGAGTAATGCTCTCACCAGACAGTATCTAATAGATTACAAACTCCCTGATGCGGAAAGAGGATTTGATAATGATATACTAGATTCCAATCCGGTGGTCTTAGGACAGCCATCGTCACTCACTTTCACTAATTCTGGAATAACAGACCGCAGGATTACTTCAACCTGTGGTTTCGCTGTTCTGCCGGAAAGAGATCAAATTGCTCTCAGCAGAAAACCTCCTCATCAATCTCTTCTCCTCTAGCTGAACGAGCGTTCTTCGCGCCCATTACTCACTATCTTACTTCATTTCCTGTTCCTAACGTTAAGATGCAAATCTCTACCCTTGCGACTTTTGCCGTCTTTGCCACAGTGTATGTACACACACACAACCTTGGGGCAATTTATCGTTTATGTCGTATTGCTAACTCGACTTCAGCGCTTTCGCAAAGCTGCATAACGCAGCTGTCTGCGTCAAGAACAGGCAGCGTGGCAGCACTGGAAATGGGACACCCTACGGCATCACTTACGGCTCATGGACGGAATACGAGATCGACACTGCTGGGACCCAGTGTGCCTGCAATTACTATAAAAATCGCAATACCGGCAACAAACAGTGGGACAGATGCCCCGACTGTCACTTTGATGGCCTTCAGTGCGTTTCCAATGCCTGGCATATTGGCGGAGACGAGGTATGTCACAGTAACTTTTGAAATTATGTCACCAGCGCTGACCACTGGGCCTTCTCAGATAACCTACTACTGCGAGAAGAAGTGCGGTAGCCAGGGAGCTGAGGCGAGCTGAAATTGTGACAGAGGTGCTTGTCTCGACAGCGCAATCATGGCGCTGTACTTGGATTCTGCTCTAGAGGCCAGGATGTGCTTTTGTTTGAGTGTAATTAGTCTAAATCCAGCATAGTGAAGCACGACTGCAATATCGAATGAACCTCTCTCCTGACTTGTAACCTTGATTCTTGCTTGCTTGCTAACGAATTGGCGTAATTAGGTTTGCACCTACGCACAAGCCAACTTTTACTTGGCGTCATCTGGCTTTTGACTGGTGGGCAAAGAGCAGAAAAAAGAAAAAAAGAAAAAGGTAAATTTGTGGCTATGACCGCGCGATTATTGTTAAGGTATAAAGGTCTATTCCTTATCTTAACGACACCATCTTTCTTTCCTGTGGTCCCGCCGCCAGCGAGAGCTGTAACTTGAGAATGGATGGATATAAAGACGCTGGTCCTCCAGAGTGATAGGAGTAGGCATGGGTGTTTTCAGAAGCCAACCTTTTGACACGATATCTCACGTAGTTTACATATGACTAAGGTAAAAATACTACTTAATCTCAGAGTCGCTGTGACGGCCTTGCATGCCAAGCTTTGCTGCCAACTTTGGCCGGATCCAGCATTGCGGGGTGTAGGGCTTGTGCTCAGACAAGCTGGGGTCCCCTTTGACAGGGGTATGTTCTTGCCCACGTGCTCGTAGAGACCAATTCTCAGCGCCGTCAGAGTTGCCAATATGAGCTATGACTTTCAGTGTGTATCATGGCAAATTCATCTAAGCAAGGGCTTTGCTCTTTGCTGCTCATTTGCCCACTGATGTAGATTGCAGGGTTCAGGGAGTCACACTAAGCACGAGTCAAGGAGCCGTTCGTTCGGGAAGGAAACATTTGCTCTGCCACGGATAGAGTGATCATGTGCACAAGGGGCTAGTCTTCTGAGACCCATATTGGACTCCGGTCTCTCCCGGAAGATGCGAGTTTTGGGCGCCGTCCGATGGGACTGGGACTGTGGAGCTGACACCAGGAACCGGCGAGGGTACATGTAGGTTTGTGCTGTAACGAACTTGTGACCAGCTGCCGATCATGGAGTTCCGCGCCTAACGGCATTGTTTCCAACCGGTCTTTGGTCACATTTGGTGGAAATTGATCCCTAGGACGAAGGATATGGGTCACCGGCAAGAGCTTCTGACTCAGGTTTACAAGTGTTACGCTTCAACCAGGGGACGAAAACGGATACCCTGATTTCCCTATCAGAAAAAAGAGGAGTGTCTAGGCCGTTTTACCTTGAAAGAATTGGCGAAGAACTTCCTTAGAAGCACGCAAAGGCTGATGAGAGAAGTTTTGTTCTTCCACCAATCAGATATACGGTGTTCCTTGGAGGAAACCCTCTTGACAGCGCCGAAGTAGGAATAGCCCTGTTCCAAGCAATATAAAGCTCTAGTCAAGTTCTCGACTCGGATGTCGCTCAAGTGGATCTAACAATCACTGCGCCTCCGGTGGGATATACGCCCTCATTATCTTTACGTACTCTGTGACTCTGTGTCTCGGTGGGAAGAACATACGCACCTATGTTTCATCTCAGTAGGCATCACGCACGATGATTAGACCAATCTCGAAAGATGTGGTGTGATTCAAATAGAAATGACTCATAAAGCAATCTAACACATCGAGATATCTCTCCTATTGGGATCGTAAAGACAGCGAGAGGCGCAATGAGGCTACGCGTTTGCTATATCGGGGATTAATTTTCAGTACTTGTTTTCAGCTGCGAAGTCTCCCAGTATTCCATTATCACTAGGCATGTCCCTAAAGACATTACCATATATTAACGCCTTTATGATGTGTAAGTACAAGTAACTCAAGAAAACGAAAAGTGGCTGTCCGAAATGAACAAGCGCGCGGACAGCATTCTGGTACTCAAGTGCATTTCTGAGCCTTTGGGACAAGTCGGATATGTGACGGAGATTATAGCCTATAGCCGGTGCCAATTGCTCTGCGCGGCGAAAGGTCGAACTGAAAACTCATAGTTTCACTGTCTTGAGTTAGAAGAATACGTATGTACAGAGCGTAAAGGAAGCAAAATATCAGCCTTTGCGTCTGGACTTATACCCATGATAAGCTAAGTTAGATCAAATAAGGGAAATAATTCTCAGAATGGTCAACTATGTAATATTTCTTTATCAAATAGATGGACCATTTAGAGTGTCTACTTCCTAAAGGTACATGATTGGGCCGGCCAATGCTTCAGCCTGCTCCAGAGGATTTGGCAGATAAGAGTTATATGCCACGATATAGCATGCCAAGCAGTGACAACCTACCTTTGGCCATGTTCTTATTTCTGAGGTAAGTGGCCCTACACTATAGCCTGAACTGTCCATGAAAGATGTTACTTCGTACTGATTCCCTTGGTCGACGAGAAGTAGCGGCAACGTAGTAAAAGCCTCAGCCCTGAGAAAACCCATTTCCGATAGCATTACAGTCAAAAGACTGATGACGTAGAATACTTCCAGTGTTTCGCCCACTCGTTTATAGCTACCTCAAGGTGAACTTGAGTTTGGCATTTCAGTGCTTCAAATAGCGTTCTGATGGATTCGTCGAATTAGGTCTAAACAGCCCTTCTACAAAAGAGAAATATACACCCCGAGATAAATCCGCGAGGGATGTTACAATTCATTCTGTTTCAACCTTGGAAGTGAATTGGGAATCATTGCAGAAGATTTATCGTCAAATTAAGTATTTGTGGATACTAAGTACGCTAGACAAAGAATCTTATCGGCCTGAACTTGTGTTCATTGACCCGTTCTCCGTAGTCTCTCGTGAACCGATCTGAATACTCCAAGGCATAGAGCACCAGGGATGTGACTTTAGTGTCTTGTTGAAGACAAATGAGGAAGAATCATCAACCAGAGAGTCAGACTCCGCGAGCGGTGAGAAGACACCTGATAAGGGTGTGGTAGGTTGTGGAGATTTCGATGACCCTACCGTCGCAAAATCTCTGAGGGAGCCGGGGCTCGAGAGCAAAGCAGGTGAACGCCCTGAGTCTTCCAGCTTGATGCCATTCTCATCTTCGATAATCTTTCTCCCAGCGGCCACCAGAACGTCTCGATCCCAGAGGTTCTCTTTCGGTAGCCCAAAAAGCTGCATAAATCTCAAGAATTCGAGCCTCATGTCAGGGTAAGGACATGCGGACACGAAATAGAAGATGATGGCTGTGAACCCCATCTCGAACATGAACTGCGGCGACTGCTTTCCGGTGGCAGTCTGGACACCGTGTGGCATCTGGGACTGAAGCCATTGAAGTTGCTTGAAGACCCTTTGAAAGTTCGGTAGGAACCTGTCTCTGGCTCTGGGTGTGTCTCCGTCAAATGCCATCTCGATCCAGATTCGAGCGGCCTCGTAGCGAGTCAGCATGAACACTTGCATCTTCTTCTTCTGATATTGCTCTTGGGAACTCAAGCGTTTCCCGCTCGCATCAATATGATGTATTCGGGCGATGAGCTGGGCAAACAGATACAGCCACTTCTCCAAAAGATTCTTGACAATAGCTTGTTCAGCTCTGTGGTCGTCAGAACAAGGGGTTTGTATTCTGGTCCCCTCTCGTTCAACAGCTATTTTTTGTCCTGTCTCGGCAATAACGAGCGTTAGGTGCGATATCCGGGCGATGATGACGTCAAACATGTGCTGAGCATCATACACTGTTGAAAAGGAGCGTGGGGCAGGCTCCCACAAATCGGGCATGTCAAGAAACGTGCCGTCGTTATCGCTGAAGTAGAAAGCTGACACGCTCAACCGGCGGAAAATGGGTAGCAAGTGATCTTTGATCCACCCGCTGTTAGGCAAGGCGGCTTTCAAGATTTCGATCCCGTGTCGACCGTGCCGTACAGCCGACTGCACATCTGACCGTAAGGCCTCAATGCAAATGAATAGAAGGCAGACCACAAGCACAACGACCTGCTTTTCTTTCAAGTCCTTGGTCTTGAGCTCCCGGATTGCTGCATTGTAGTGGTGCAATGCCTGTCTCTGGTGGACGAGTCGCTGGCCCGTAGTGATGTCTTGCTGCAAACCGTCGGCTTGCTCAAAAAGACCACTTATCGCGACAAGAGCGTGCTTGACCGCGGGCTCATTGGCACCGAGCTGCATGACAAGGTGTGTCCAGAAGTAGGGGTCCAAAGTACCAGACATGGACGGCCCAACCACTTCGCAGAAGTACTGCAAAGCGCGGCCCTCCTTGGCCGTTGTACCTGGGAAAACAATATGTGGCTGAGACAGGGAAGCCACTCCTTCGGGAGTGGGCTGGGGTGGACGGGCGAGTCGTGAACCGTAACCGTCACAAATGCGACCAGTGGTCGTACAGCGAGAACAGCTTGGTTTATTTTCGTCGCACTTGACTTTCCGGACTCTCGTGCATTATCAGCTCAACTTCTGCGAGGTACGAGACGAGACGCATATTACGCGGGTTCGGCGCGGACTTACTTGCAAGTAACACATCCCGTCTTAACCTTTTGACTCCCCTTGCGAGGCATGATTTCTGGGTGGTCTACTTTGATTACGTCTTGGATGTTGTGGAAAGTCGAGGTTGCAGATGTCTTAGGTAGCGACGGCCCGCAACTGCGAAATTGACCGTTATGTGCTGGTCTACGAGCTCCTACTCCGTACGGCGGTGAGGATTTCATAACGTGGTCTAACCGCGCCACGGTAATGTCGCCGCGCTTACTAAGGTGGCGTTAAACACGCCACAAAGGTGCCCGGGCACCGTGGGACTAGGAAAAAGCGAACGCTTTAATCTACACCCATTCAATTCACTACCACTTTGATAATTAACCTTAATATTAATTTTTGAAATCTTCATACCAAAAGTAATTTATTCAAGCATTTATGAGTTATGATTATGAACTGATTAATTTATATTTATTTATGTTTTGATTTCTATTTTAACTAGTTACTTAAGTAGTTTTTAATATAAATATATAATATTTATATATAGTATTAGTAAGTATTCCCGCTATTATAAAATGTTTTATTTTTTATTTATTACTTTTAATGATTATTATAATACATAAATTTACTATTAATTAATCCGTAATCAAAAAAGAGAAACCTTATGAAATAAAGAATTAAAAATAAATAAAAACTCGGTTATAAAAATAATAAGAGTATTAATTTTAGATTTTTACGTTTATTAGCTATTTAAATATTACTTCATATATTTATATAGTGTTAATATATAATATTGATAAATGAATACTTTTACTAATTTAATAAACTATTTCTTTTTAAATTTTCTATTTTTTTGAACAAAGTTTATAACTGTAAATTAACTAATCTCTCTACCGGAGTAATCCACCCGGGCCGTACTATATATTACGCATTAAGAAAAACCGAATATATTACGCTTTATATTTAATTATTACACTTCAAGCTCTAGCCCGCCTTATTAGGGGCTATTTTTATACTCTTAAGTAAGTTAGTTTATTAGAGCTAATATTATATTTTTATTATATATTTTAATAAACTTTCTAACTAATTATAATTATTATTAATTATACTAATATAGCTTAAATTATCCCCCTAATAAAGTACTCTACTAAGGCCGTATTATACATTATATATTAAAAAAAAACTAAGTATATTACGCTCTATACTTAATTACTCCTTAAAATTAACTAACTTAACTATTTTATCTTTTTTATTAATAACTCTTAATCTTTTATTATTTTTAATTATTTAAAAAATAAGCTTTACTTACTTTGATATATATAAAACCTCTTAATATTAGTTTATATAAATAACTAAGTTTAATATAATCTTTTTTTATATAAATAATATTATTACTTAGCGGGGTTAATAAAAGCTATTTTAAGTATTAGCTTATTATTTTAACCCTTTCTATTTTTAATTTATTTATTTTAATTATTATAACTAAGTTAATATTAATTTATTATATTTTAATATTAGTATTAGCCTAGTTATTTATAATATTTATATTATTATATAGCTAAACTCTATATTATTAAAAAGTATTTTATTACTTTTTAAGCGTATTTATGTTAATTATAATAGTTATAATATCGAGCTAATTAAAAAAACGGCCTAGCCTAAGGGGGATAAACTTATTAAAAGGTATTATTAGCTCATTAATTACTAACTATATATTAAATAAGTAAGTTCTTATTAATACGCTAGTTATTTTTATATTAATACATTTACTTATATAGGTTTAATAACTTTATTTAGTAGTTTATTTAATAGTTTATTTAGTTGAAATAAAGCTTATAAGTAATATAAAAAGTAAAAAAAACAAAACAATAGTTTATAAATTTTAATATAAATAATTAAATACTAGCTCTTTTAGTCTTTTTTTATTAATAAAAACCTTTAACGTACTTATATAGCGAGTAATATATTATAGCGAGCGACGCACGTCCTTATAATTCTACTCTTTTTATTTTTAAAATACTTTTTCTTTATATATAAATATATAATCTTTTTTAAATAAAAGCTAAATTATTCTTATTTTTTAAGTTATTAAAAAGATCTAAAAGTATTTATATAAAGAGCTATTTTTATTTTTAAAATTTCTAAATTAAACTTTTATTATTAATATATTAAATATATTATATAAAATAAAAAATAATTAAATTTAATAAAAATAATTATAATAAAAGAGGAGGTAGTTTTTTAAATAAGTTATTAATTTAATTAATTAAAGGTTCTTTTTATAATAAGAAAATATATAAAGAATAGCTAATTAATTTCTAAATATATATAATAAAATACTTATTAAATTATAATAAATAAACAATTTAATATAACGCGTCCCTAAATTAAAAATATAATTTAATATTAAATTAATTATTAAAAAGCTTTAGTTAAAGATTTTATTATTATATAAGGCTAAACTAGTTTATATATTATTTTTATTTATTAAAATAAAGAATACTATTTTAAAAATAAGAAAGAAGTCGTTTTTTATAATATATAAAATTTATATTTATATTATTTTTTTAATTTCTTTATTATATAAGTATTTTAATAAGCTAAAGTACTTAATATTAAGAAACTAAAACTTATATAATAAATAGAAAAGTATATAAAAAATAATAATATTTTATTTTTTATAATACTTATTAAAATTAGTTAATTTATAATTATTATAATTATTAAGGATTAAAAAGTAATAAGAGCCTTTTATATAAGTCTTTATATACTAATTAAAATACTTTAATTAATCTAGGCTAATATGATTTATTATCTATTTATTTTTATTTAAATAGATATATTATATAGTTAAGCATTAGTTATTAATATATTAAAAAAAGAGATAACATTTATTTTTTATAATAATATATAAAAATAGTACCTAGCTATTTATATATATACCTTAAATAATAAAAACCTATTTTTAATTACTAAGCTATTTTATATAAAGCTTTTTATTATAATTAAAAATTATAATAACCTTTATATATAATAATATTCTTATTAAAAAGCCCGTTTTATTAAAATTATAAATATTATTTTTATATATTTTATATTTTGTAATCGTATTTTATATAAGAGTAAACTAGGCTTAGATAATTATAAAATCCTTAATTAATACTTTTTAATAATTAATTTTATATTAAAAACGCGTTCTTAGTTATAATTAGCGTTATATAAAGTTCTTTATTTATTATAATTTAATATATATTACGTTATATTTATTAAAAAAGTAATTAGTTATATTTTATATATTATTAAGTTGTAATTAAAATCCTTAATTAATTAAGTTAATAACTTATTTAAAAATTATAATTTCTTTTAAAATAATTATTATTCTTAAATTTATATAAATTTTATATCGAAATAATAAGTTAATATATTAATTATAAAATATTATTCTTAGGATATTATAAATAAAAGCTACTTTTTATATAAATAGTTTTAGGTCTTTTTTAATAATTTAAAATATAAAAATAATATAATTTTTATTTAAAAAAGAACTTATTATTATATATAAAAGAAAGTTATTATAAAGAGAAGAGGTATAGAAAGAAAAGAAAGTAAGTAACTTATTATAATAGGCGACTTACTATATATTTATATTAGCTTTATAATCTATTTTAAATTTTAAACCTTTAGTAAATCTAAGGTAAATATTTACGTAGAGAACTAGGTCTTATTAAGCTAGCTTAACGTATATTAATATTAGTAATAGAAATATAAACTTATACTAAACTAGACGAAGCTTTGCTTATAATATACTATATCTTATAACTAATAAATAATGCGCCGTACATCTTAATTCCGAGGACATAAGCTCGGTGGCATAGGATAAAAATATAATACTTGAGAATTAGATATATTAGTTAAAGACAGCGAGAAAAGCAACCGATAAGCGCTTTCACGTCTAATGATGCGTTTATCATTCTGCTTCTAAGTAATTCCTATGCTGGAAGATGGCTATTAATACTCATTTAAGCCGCAAATTCAATCATAAGGTTCGGGCACCATCCTTCTTCCTTAACTAAACCGAGACACCCGAAAACTCATTACTCGGTAGCATAGGTATTCCCCTCACTTAAGGTAGTTGACATGAGCTCCCGCCAAAAGACTGGTTATGTTCTCGGCCGCTCTGGCAAGATTGGGGAAGGCATTAACGTATCTTATACGTAAGAGACGCTATCGTAGCGACTGAGCGAATCTCATATCACGTCGCTGACCTATCCGTATAATATAGAGGCTTGCCACCGTACCATCCGCTGGCGCTTTGTGAAGGCTGGAATCCCGAGCTTGTGCACAAAGGCGGTCCTAACGACTTAATTGAGCTCGTTCAAGCTGGGCTGTAATCAACTTCATTTTCTTCCGCGCCGTTATCTATGGATCCAATGGTCTAATAAACAAACACAACTACTGTAGTGACTGAGGCAGGACCAGAAATACCCATTACGAGAATTGCCGAATAGATGCGAGAAAAGGGCGCCCAGTGGCATATCACCAGCATAGAACTGGGTATAAGAGCATCAAAAGATCCTCTGGTCATACATCGTCTTAAAGTTATAGGGCTTCCTAGTTTCCGCTCTACGTCTTGGCATGCTCGACACTTACGGGTATTGTTGTTTAAGACCTAGTTCAGCTTTTCCGCAAGGAAACACCCACAGCTCAACAAATGTTCAACGCGGATCCCAGAGTTCAGAATCTGT